CCAAAGATACATTTTTTAAGTACTCCTTTTTTTTTCCATAATAAACATATAGACATAAAACACAAGATAAGCCATCACACACCATGACTAACATCATATGTCCAACACAAAGCAACATCTTTATTTCTTGCTGTCAATTCCTTTAAAAAACCACAGGCTCTGTGACAGTTCCATTTGGGTACCTTTGATGCTGCTGCTGCTGCTACTGGTGTCGAGCCAGCTAAGTTATTGTACCTATTGTCACATAAAGTGGTGGACTGGGTGTGAGGCTTAACAGTAGGAGGGGGCCTCACTAGGGCACACTGCTGTGTTATGCAGAGGCCCCAGCACCACGAAGGGCTCACCTTAACACACACACGGTGCCACCCACCCACATCACGTGTTTTGCCTGTTAGCAGCCAGAGGTGCAGGACCCCAGAAGCCAGATTCCCCCTGCACCTATCTCTTTGACAGCTGGCAGGCTTTGTGGCTTCAGCAGGCGCCACCACTCCTGCAGTTTTCAGCCCGCTGCACCTTAACACACACAGGGTCATCTATGTCCCAAGTTTTGCCTGTTAGCAGCTTGAGGTGTGGTTCCCCCCAAAGCCTTCACCTATCTTCTTGAAACTTGTCATGCTTCATGGCCTCAATAGGGGCCACCACCCCTGAAGTTTTCAGCTCCCTGTGGTGTAACACATACACGTGACATGAGTTTTGCTTTCAAGAATTTGGGGTGCAGTTCCCCCTAAACCCCTGCACCTACCTTCTTGAAACTTGGCAGGCTGTGTGGCCTCATCAGGGGCTACCATCCCTGTAAGTTTCACCCAAATCAGACGAGAAGCAACAAAGTTACAGATATTTCATTGATCCCCCATTATACCCTATGGCCAGATCTCCGAGGTGGCTCCAAAGCCACTTTAGCTGGATCGAAGCGGGAGACTGATCTGAAGCTCCATATCAGATTGCTGACATCCAAAGCAGCCGGATCCAAAGCCGGATCAAATACCTGCCTACTAGCACAGGCCTACTGTTAGGCCTTCTAGATAACTAACCAAAGAGCAAGAGCACCATCAGTTGCAGCCTGAGTCCTGAGATACCTTCTGAGGGAATCTTCTTAAAATACTTTTCGCCCTTACCCCTTTTGAAGACAAATCCCACCCACCACCAAAACCATTAAAAATGCTATGTAAACAAATGTTGCTTTGTTAGATGGCCAAACCAAACCAAAAAAGAATTTAGGGTTAAATAGATTGGGGATTTTAAGAAGGTAGAAGAGACCAAAATTAAAAGATGGGTTTATAAACCTGGATCAAGTTTTTCAGTAGTTTGCAAAAGCACAGTCTGGGGACAAGGATCCAGTTTCTCTATCAGAAATCTCAGATGTATAGAATACATGTAGTTCAACTACCTATGTTTTCAATCATTTTCCTTACCAAGTATTTTTTTTAAATGAACCAATCTTGTTGATACCACTTCTCCCTAAGATACTCAACATATATACTTCACTTGCTGGATTCCAGCTAAGAAAATAGTCAGACTTTCAATCAGGATTTTTTACAGAAAAGTCTCCAACTGCTGAATAAATTACCAGAAAAGACAAAAATAATTAAACTCCCTACTGGGTATAGAATTCTCTTATTATGATTTCATTTCACTGGTAAAAGATTTTGAACTGAAACTTCACTCGAGCCAGAGTATACTTTACAAGTTGGCCATAATCAACCCTTAATACAGCAGCAGCAGAATTAGTGATCACTGGCACCCCATGTCTATAACATTAAAATAGAGAGAGTGCAGTAACACACAACAAAGTTATTGTGCTAGTCAGAGATAGGAGCCAAGAAACATGAAGAGGGAATAAATCAGCAACAGATCTTTATCCTGTCCTATTCTTCACATTCAAAATACAGTATTTTTAAGGAGTTGGCATGAAATTTACTATGTGAGAATACACCATCTCCTCAAATATAAAGAAGGGAAAACTAGGGATATAAATATATATTTTTTAATATATAACCTGAAAGACAGGGAAATGTGGCAACCATTAGAAAAGGGTGAGAGAGTGATGTGTTAGGTTAATAGAACTAGTTTGAAGAAGAAAAATTGGGAGGACACTGTTATGACAACAAAATGCAACTGGGCAGAATAAAGAGATACCAAATAGCCACAAAAGAATTTGATCCTGTAGGAAGAACTGTCTTTGTACATTCTATATTTCTACATGACGTTACATTCTGAAAGAAGACCAAGATAAACCTGAAAACTAATTGGAATAAAATAGATTGTTTTTCAACAAACCATCAGGAAGTCCCATCATTGAAGAAATCAGTTCATTTCTAAACACTGCTTATATTAGACAGAATGGACAAAGAAAACCAAGCAATCAAGCATTTGGATGATGCAACATATATTGCTAAATTATTAGAAGCCAAGTGTGCAGGAAGTATAAATGCACAAGGAAACCAATATATAGTGTGTTTAACCGTTATTTCCTAATTAGCAGGTGCTTCTTGCCCTTGAGAGAATAAAAACTAACCCAACTACTGATCTAGGGATGCACCCAAAATGGAAAAAAAAAAGAGCTCAAAGAATGAGTGGAAAGGTAGCATAAATATCATCTTGAGCCTTTTGGGCACAAATCAGAGCTACTGCCCATGGCTTACAATACTTTAGCAGTTAACTGACTGAATACAACAAAGGAAATTGACTGAGTACAACAAACTCCTGGCAATGAGGCCTTTTTCCTTATTACTCCCTTATACTTTTTGCAGAGAAGGTAGTAAAACATGGACTATCCCACCAGTACCTCTCCAAGTGTTGGGGTAGAGCTTTTCTTGTCCACTTATGTAAACTCCATTTGTGCCACTTAAAACTGCAGTCTAAATATCTTCCCCCAGTCAACAATAATCAGACTTATGTAAGCTAGGATGACATCATAATTACTGACATAATACAATTTAGCAATAGTCTTCACAATGCTTGCTCATAATGGCTGCATGAGCTCATATGTAAATGAGCCTTTTTTTGCACACACAGTAACTTCACATATACACATATGCACAGCCATTTTTTACGTATACACGTACTTTTCATTCATCTGATAGTGTTCATAGGGAAACCTGACCCTGTAAGATGGAACATGCTTGCACTTACGTCACCAGAAGAAACAAAGGTAATAAATGGGAAAATGCTGACATCATTTAAAAGGAAGTATTTGCCAAAACTGACATGATTTTTTTTCTGGCATACCTCATCTTCTTCCTATAGTTCACACAGGAAGTGATTGTGATGTCTCAGACACCAATGCAAGATAACTTGATAAACTGTCCCCTACTAGCTCAATCCAGTTTAGTCAAGTAGTTCTCCCATAACAACAAAGTCAAGGCTTTAAGTCAACTATAATGTTTTATTTCAGTGTTTGTACTATTATTGTCTCAAAAACCTTCCCATGCAAACATTTTAAATAGAAAATATAGAAAAATAACCTGTACATTTTGGGCTTTGGATAAAAGCCAATATTTTTAGATCTCTCAACGTGCTTTATAACTTTACCCTTATATTTACACTTATATTACAAGACGATTAAGAGAGATTAAATGACTTACTGAAGATATCAAGATATCAGATGCCAGAATAATGTCTGTTAGAGGCAACATGGTCTACAGCAGGGGTTGGCGATCCCAGGCATATGTGCCGGAATGTGGCATATGAAGACATTTTGCTTGGCCTGCCAGCCCTCAAAGCAGATGGAGGGGGGGCCACAATGGGCCCAATCCTTCTTGTGGCACAGCCCCAGTCACTTCCCAGCTATCCATCATGAGGCATGCACTCACCCACTGCAAGCAACTAGCTGAGCCAGGGCTCTATAGACCCCAGTTCAGCTGCTTGCAGCCTCCCTCCCGCTTGCTGTGAACAGCCCTGGCTCCAGGGTGGGCAGCATGGGCCTGCCCAGGAGCTGGCTTGGCTGTAGCAGGCAGCCAGGAGGCTACAAGTGTCTGTACTGGGGTCTTCAGATGGTGAGGAAGGGGCAGGGCTGCACTGCCACAAGAAGGATTGAGCCTCTCACAGCTTCCCTGCCATCCGCCTGCCACCACACCAACATCTTACAGGTAGATATTGTAGTTTTTTTGGTACCCTGTCAAAAAACATTGCCAACCCAATCTAGAGAATGGGGTGTTGGCTTGCATCTCAGGACAGACTTCGCATTCAGCTCTACAACCATCTTCTTCTGTAATAAGATTCAAGTCAATTCTCTATCTGTGTCTCAGTTATTTGTCTCAGTTATTTGTGTACTCTGCAAACTGTCAAGATTTTCACATTTTACTATCTGACTAGATACAAGAGGACTGATTTTCCCTTCACCAGCATAAATTAGTGGTAAATTGAGAAAATCGGTTCAGCTACTCTGATAGAAGACTGATCAGGAAGAAGAGCATCAGGGTCCTGTAATAATTATCCTTTTCTTAAAAATCAGGAAGCTTAAAAAGAGAAAGCAGTCATTAAATTTGAAAAAATAAAGAATTATTGATCGTATTCCTTTTATTCAGTTCTCTTTCTGAAGGACTAATGACACATATTGTTCATGTCTGCAGAGATTACCAAGTGAAGTTCTGCTAATTAAAGAGTCCATAGGAAGAGATCGCAAATTTCATGTAAAAATTTGACTGCACAGTGATGCACAGATATATCATTACCTCCCCTACTACATGTTCACATAGGACAAATGCCATGCTCTTCCCATGCTGTTTGACATTTCCAGAATTACTACTTTGGACATAAGCCTTCTGGTCATGATGTTTAACATGATAAATTATTAGACTGGTAGGAAATGAGATCCAACCTTGAAAAGTGTAAGGTAATTATACAGGCATTAGCACATATTTTTACTGGCATATCTTTGGTGACAATTCAAAAGAAAGAACTTCAACATTCTTTAAAATTGCTTGAACAAGATTTTAACTAATAAATAACCAATTTTACCTTTTGTATCTTGCTATTTATATGAGCAAGAACATAGCTATTGCCATAGTTATTAGGGCTGTGCAAAGCTTTGGGTGGTGATTCGATTCGGAGAAGATTCGGCCCACTTCAGACCTGGCCTGGCTGATTCAGAGATTCGGATGCTGCTGAATTTCTGAATCAGATTCAGCTGAATCAAATAAGGACAGTGATTTGAATCCCTAAACAAATCATTGTCCCCCAAATTGGCCAAATACAAATACAAAGTGAATATCAGCTGCTTCACACAGGCCTAATAGTTATGAGTCATCTGATCTCAAATGAACCATTCTCAAAAGTGTCGGCACAACACGGAGCTGGCGAGCCAAGCTCATGGTCGTGATCACAGTGGGGCGGCCGGGAGGCGGCAATTGGATACGGAACAGGCAGGATTTCTGGCATGGAGTTCTGAGGCACGTAAGCGTAGTGGTTTTAAACAAAGGTGATTTATTTGACTTATGCTTAGAAGGCGTAGGTAGAGTTGCTTTCTTCAGTTACAGTAAATACAAACAACGGAGGGGTCCGTTGGCCCACGGAGTTCTTAAGTGAGCCCTTGCTATCTAGCCGGAGCTAGGGGCGGCTGCTCAACTTAATAGTCCCAGGGCTGGTCAACGGCTCATTAAAGGAACAGAACGAACAACAAAACTGTAACAACGAAGAACGAAGACTGAGTCGTGACGCCAGTCCAAGTGGACAAATGGATGGTCGAATAGCCATGCCGAGGTCAAGTGCCAGGTAGAAGAAGCCAAAAACCATCGTCAGGGTAGTCAAGGGTGATCCAAATCGTTGTCAGTAACCAGTGC